TCACAGTTGCTGCCTTATATAATAACTCATCTGGGAGTTTCCTGGGTAGCTACTGTAACATTTTCCACTTACGTCAACATTTATAATGCTTACCTATCCTTAGTTGAAAAACTGATTATTATTGAGCCTTTATTACATAGGAGTGGATTTAAAATAAGTTCATACTAGAGATACTTGTAGACAATTCTAAAATGTTAATAGCTGTTCAATTGGGTGTGCAATTATTTTAAATAATTGATTTTATCAAGTAAAGGAAGCCGGTGAGAATGTAAGAAGTAATTTAGTGAAACTCCGAAGTATAGTATTGTCATATATTGGTTTTATAGACTTCTATTCATTTTAACACAAATCATACAAACCCCCTCTCTATCTATTAATCAACAGGTCTCATGAATTGGATATGGTAATAGTAGGTCATCAAATTTTAAGCAAAATGCAGAGAAACTTTGCCAGGTCAGAAACTATGAGTGTGTATGTGGTTCTTATTAGGTGAGGCTGGGCATTCTTGGAGAATTATACTAATTCCTCAGTATATGTACTGCTTATACATTTTACCTGATTTTTAGAACTACCTTGTAAGGTAGTAAGAGCAGGCTTGACTATCCCTGTCTTACAGATAAGGAAACTGAAACTTAGAGCGCTAATGTGATTGTTCAAGTTTACAGAAGGAAACTGAAACTTAGAGAGCTAATGTGATTGTTCAAGTTTACAGAGTGGGGAAGTGGTGGAGACAAGACTTTTCTCTTTGTTTTTCTTTAAAACATTACTTTTGTGTTGTAATATTAAATAAACCAGTTTTCATCATAAAAGTAGAACAAAGTTTAAATAATTTGCAAAGAGGAGAAAAAAGTCATCAGTGATCTCTACCCAACGCAAGTCAGTGTAAAAACCAAATCTTCAGGTAAATAATTGAAATGGCATTGGGAGTTGAGATCGTTATCTGGGACCACAGTGTCCATGGAATCAGTACGTAGGGAAATCTTTGATTACGGCTCTTGGGGCAAAGAGGATCCTGGGCCCCCGAATAAAGTAGAATCTTTCTCTGGATGCACTTAGCAAAGAATACAGAATTCCTATTTTCCCATCTGTTCCCTTGATCCATAATATCCCTCCTCTCCCCTCACCACACACATATCCTCAAATTGTCACAAATAGTAAAATCCTGACATGTTGATTATCTTACAGGGAATATAACCTTTATGCCTTCGTTTCTCCTGCACACATTCTCAAATGGGAGGGCATTTCAAAGATGAGGCAGGGTCTCAGGGAGGTTAATGACTTTCTGAAGGTTACGTGACTAGAGAACAGCAGTGCTGACTTCTGATTTTCAGTCCAGCAATTTTCATTACATCATGTCAGGCTCGAGGAGGATGCCATATTGATGAGCCTCTTGCATGATACTTGACTGTTTTTCAAAAACATGCTCATCACTGATCTGGTTAGACAGGTGTGGCGGGGCTGAGCAGAAGAGTTTGAACTTTATGTGGTTGATGTGGGCGGCCATTTTAGTTTCTTAACCTAAGGAAGCAGTATGATTGAATACCTTTTTAGGAAAAGTAGTGTGAGCACGGTATCCAGGATGAATTAAAGCAGAATTAGTGTTATTTGGGAACTTGTTGGGCCCATTCCAGGCCTACTGAGTCAGGAACTCTGGTGGTGGGGCCCAGCAGTGTGTTTTAATAAGCCCTCCAGGTCAGTCTAATGCAAGCTGACATGTGAGAACCACTGAATCAATGCTGTAACAGTCAAGAAGGCATTCTTGGAGACTGTTTTCAGAATTCAGACTTGAAGTGATAAGAGTCTCAATTAATGTGATGGCAGTGGAAATGGAGAGAACATCTTATTCTAAGAAATGTTTGAGAAGTTCTAGTCAAGATTCAACTTGCTCTCTTGGTTATTCCTTGCAGAACATGTGGTAGTACTGGTATTCTGGAGGAGGGAAGGTCTTAATTTCATGTGATCATATTAGTAAACTGCTTAGAAGGGTTGAGTTTACTGTGTTTGGAGGTGCTGAGCTCCCACTTTTATTTGCCCCTGTTAGCTGGGGCATTTATGTGCTCCTCCTATGTGACAGAGTGTGGCCCGCGGAGATGCAGAGGTGGTGGTCTGTTTGCCAAGGGGACCAGTACATGTTCACAGCCCATTTCCTTGTGTTAAAAGATGAGCTGTAACTTGGGAGAGCTGGCAGGAGTGAAGATTAAAGAGAACAAGTGAGGGGTAAAACTGGAAAACATAATAGTTGAAGGGAAGGGATGATTAGAAAGGGCATAGAGATTTCTGAGCTAAAATTTCCTTTTGTTCTTAGAATAAAACCTATCCTCTCTGCCACTATGGTTTCTGGTTTCTTCCTGCTTTCTGTCCTCATTTTCTCCCAATTTCTGCCTTTCTCATCACATTCCCAGCTGCGAATCTCCCCCTGTTCTCTCAGCCTAGATATTCCCATGGCTGGCTCCCTATTACAGCACTCAGAGGTCATCCTTTGGAGAACTTTCCATGACCACCCTCATTAATGTTGGGCCCCACCCCACCCACCTTCCCAAACCGGATTCTCTCCCAGACTATTTATCCCAATCTGAGATGATTTTAGTCTGGTATTCTTGTTTAAGTCTGCACTCTCTACCCCAGGAGAATGAAAGCTCCTTGAAGTGCCCGAGATCCTATGTGTCTTTTATTGTTATATGTTTATTGTTGTTTTCCCAGCCCCTAGAAGGGTGCCTGGCTTGTAGGTAGAGCTCCATAAACTCTAGTTGAATGAGTTCTACATAGAGATTTGATTGGGGTGGCAGGGGGAGGATTAGGAAATGTGGGTAAAATGTGTCTGTAGACACCAGGCACCACATGTTGGCTAAGTTGCATGGGGTAATAGAGGCGAAACAGGATAAATCCCAGAGATGTTTAGGAAGTAACACTGACCAGATTTGATGATGGATTGATGGGAGGTATCAAGGAACTTTCTAGTGAAAAATCTTCCTGAGGGAGGTTTGTAAACTCATAGCATTCATATTTGACCTCTTCATTTACTGGAAACTTAAGGGCAAAGCAGTTTTGTATTAGTCAGGGTTCTCCAGAGGAACAGGACCAATAAGATATATAGATGATGAGATTTATCATGGGCATTGTCTCATGTGATTATGGAGACTGAGAAGTCATACAACCTGTAAGCTGCAGAACCAGGAAAGCTAGTTGTGCAATTCAGCCTGAGTCTGAAGGCTCAAGAACTGGAAGCAAAAGAGATCAGAAGATGGATGTCCTAGCTCAAACAGAGAGACCACATGAACTCATCCTTCCTTTGCTTTTTGTTCTATTCTGGCCCTCCACGGGTTTCATGATGCCCACCCATGTTGAGGAGGGCCATCTGCTCTACTCAGTTCACCAGTTCAAAGGCTAATCTCTTACCCTCACAGACACACCCAGACATAATGTGTTACCCGCTGTCTGGACATCCCTTAGCCCAGTCAAGTTGACAAAAAATTAGCCATCACAAATCCTTAGCTCTTCAGCTACCCCTCCACCAAGAGCTTGTCTCATTTCTGCACTGCTCTAGAAGACAGGCGCCTTCAAGCTCTAGGCGTGAGGAATTCTCTGCTTCTACCCAGATCAGCTCTACCCACCCACCTACCCACCCATCCACCTGCTCAACAATATTTATTGAGTATGTACTATGTTCTAGATACACCAAGGGCACTGATGGCACAGCAATGACTAAAACAATCTCCTTGCATTTATGTCCTGAAGAGGGAAGATAAAGGCAAATATGTCCACAAATACTGCCTGGGATACTTTGGATGGTCATAGGTGATATGGAGCAAACAAAACAGTGAGACAGGATGGGGTGTGGTCAGTGAGGCAGCTCTGAATTGTTGCTTCTTAAGCTGAGATTTGAATAACGGAAGGAACCAGCCATGAGAACTCTTGGGGGCAGAGGGTCTTTCCCTGTAGAACCTTCAGAACCCATTTCTGGTAGACGAGTGACTGGTGAGATTTTGTTTGCATGAAAGAATGAATTTAGAGACGTTGGAGGCATGGAAATTAAACTGACATTACTTTTAAATAAATAATTGTACTGCTTGCTTATTTATGTACTGAAACATTTTCTTATTGAAAATTGTTATACAAAACATTGCAGAGATAGCTCTAGTTTTACAGAGCAAAATTTCTATCAGTCGTAAATAGCAGGTGATTTTCAAAAGAAGGTAAAATCAGGACTCTCACAGAGATGTAGAAATGAACACATGTTGACGACTTAACTCATTAATCAATGAGGGAACTAGACAGCTGTTATAACAGATTCAAAGGAGAAATGAAAACAGCGCAAATTTATATGGAGTAAAGGAATGAGATGAATGTGCAAATTCAGACACTAGCTTCTCCCATTCTGGAGGGAAGTCAGTTGAACCTCTGTGGGCCAGGACAGAATTGACCTGTCTACAGACAACAATTATTTTGCATTGCTATCAGTCATTTACATTTCACAGAGTGGTAAGATAGCTGCCATAGAATCAAAAGCAAATAACCTGGAGGGGTTCCCTCTAGACAGTGCAGTTTTCCACTGAAGCACATTTTTTCCCTCCACCTAATCAAACTAAAACAAAATAACCTCTGTTCCCCCCTTGAATAAAAGTACATAGTTCCTAATACTTGTGGTCTTTGGAGTGATGGGAGAGTGGGATAGCGGAGGACGACTGTCATTTATTCTATGCTTGCTATGAGCACTGAGCATTATTTGTCATTTATTCCATCTTCACAGTAGCTCCGTGAAGGGTGGTGGCGTTCCCATTTTATAGATAAGAAAGTCAGCTCCAGAGGTTCAAGACACTGCTAGCTAGTGGCAGAGTTAGAATTCCAGACTGTCTTTCTATCTCCAAAGTATGATATAGAAAGACACACACACACACACACACACACACACACACACACACACACACACTCTCACTCTCACTGTGACAACTTGCTAATAATAAAAGCTGTAAAAATTCTGTGGTTTTTTTTTTTATCTTCAGGTCAGCATCAACCACGATGGATCTCAAGAGTGGCCTGGATGAATGTGCGGTAGCATTGAACTTATTTCTAAGTAACAAATTTACAGATGCCTTAGAATTGCTTCAACCATGGTAATTTCTTTAAGTAAAAATATTTTTTTTTCAGATTTTTTTTATGGTTCTGCCTTTGATGTCATGCTTGTCAGTTAATTTATCTGTATTTCCACCTGAATATTTGGTTGAGACCCCTTACTGTTGGTTAGTTTTAATATCCAGTTAAGAAATCTGCCTTTTCAACTTTAATCAGTAGAAAATTTGATTTCTTCTCATATTTTAATTTCTATACTTGTTCAAATAATGTCATTTATGTAGTTTTGTGGAGCTTTATTTTTTATTTTCTTCAGTGAAATATGTTTATGGATGTTCCTCTTATCTTACACATAACTGAGAACAGTTTGCTTTGAAATGGGGATGGGAAGAACTAGAATAGGGTAATCTCAAAAGCTAAAAAAAGGTAAGATAATTCAGATATTGTTGGGATTCCCTATTTATGTGATTAACAAGTTAACTTAATTTCAACGAATAGTACCTGTTAATGTATAAACTGTAGCAGCAAAACCTGTGCTCGGCCTTCTTACTAGGCCTCCCTGTGACCACAGTCCCCAATCCTGCAGTATGACTGTACCTTGACAGGAATTTATTCTTCCATTGTGCCTTCAAACCCTAGCAGTGCACTAGGCCTCATGTAGTAATTTCCCAGAAGGTTAGTTGGGCACAAAAGTGGGAATCTCATTTCTTTGAGCAATCAATACCATGACGAGGCTTTGGTCCTGGACTTTGAATCGTGGAAATTAACTTATCTACTGAGAAGCTGCTGTGTTAATTCTATTAAGATTTAGAAGAACTTGATCAAATAGCGTTTCAGAGGTTAGGAACAGATGGTAAAATAGATGGTGAAGCCCATAGCCGAAGGAAATTGTCCAGTGTCGTCTCCCACACTCGTCTCATAACCTCAATCTTACTGTCTCCTGCCTTTTTTCCCAGTGATTCCTCCATCTCTCCGTCTTCTCTCTACCTCCCTCTGTTTGCCTTCCTTCCTTTGTCTCACCTCTCAGCCTGTATGCTGTCTCCTGTGTTTTTATTCAAATAAGTCCTTTTTTTCTCTGCCAGTGACAGCCAGCTGACATAATCATAGAACGAAGATAAATGATTTCGTCTTGTATTTAGTGGAGTTTTATATTCTCTGATCCTTATGCATGTTTCACTCTTAAATGTACGTTTTTCCTACTTGAATACATTTTTCCTTGTGGAGGAAACTGGTTTAAATATGAGGTTTAACACTGCAAGCACTGATTAACGTTAGGCTGCTCTTATTCCTTGCAGTTCTTTTAAACAGCCAGTGCCCTCACTGTTCAGGGCAAACTGCAAATTACCAAAGAATGTTTAGATTATTTTCATGGGGGAAAAGAATAAAGTGGCTTTCATTTGTTTTGTGCAGCAGCAAGCTGTTGTGTATTATATTTGAGTTAAAAACAAAACTGATTTTTTTTTTTAAAGATTTTGGGGAATTGGGGAAGGGGAACAGTGTTGGGGAATCGGGGAAGGGGAATAGACAAGTTGCTGTCCTTTTGTTCTTCAGTCTAGTTGTGGAGGACATCGCTTCACTGGCTCATGTTGGTATTATCATTGCGCTCTTCCCGGGTGAGGCAGTTGTTCGCTGGCCATTGGATGGCTGCTCACGGCAGCTCATGAAAGCTCATGCCCGTTGCCGGCCAGCCCCACTGCAGCCTACGCTGTCGCCAGTGACTCACAGCAGCCCAGCTCCAGGTCGAGCTGTTGTTCACCATCTTAGCTGTAGAGGGCGCAGCGTCACTGACCCTCATGTGGGATCCAAAACGGGGTCCTGCTTCTCAGAGCTGGTGTCCCAAGCTAACTCCTAACCAATGTGCCACTCAGCTGGCCCCAAACTGTGATATTTTAAATCTTATAAGTAATTCGTATAATTTAAGAAGTTTTGAGAAAGTGATGGTGAGTTTTCACAGCCTGAGAATCTGAGATGTCTGCCATACATTAGGACTAATTGACCTTAAGAATCTATAATAAGTAATTCTCACTGATGATTTGATAATTTGAATTATCAAGAACTTTAATCAGGAATATCAGGTAATGGAATTAGGTTTGATATGGAGTCTGAAATGTACTTTTGTCAAGGCCCTTTGTGGCTGTTATATTGCAAAAGTCTTGCTTTCTCTTGGCCTCTGGCGGGGAGAAGACAGGGGACTATTTTAAAGGAGACTTCATCTTTCAAAAAACATATCAGAATTTGTCTGTCACAAAATATATTTCCAGTGATTTTTACTTTATCATATTATTCAGAGCTGAAGATAGTACACTACCCATTGTGCAACTGGGAAAAATTGGTTTGCTTTGCAACATTTCCTAGGAAATGAATTGGCAGGCTGCCCCCTTGTGCTGAAACAGGGAAAAGCATCTTGTCTCATTTCTGCTTCAACTTGGAATGTTTTGTGCTGCCTGTGTGGGCTTAAATGGAAAGTCCTTGCTACTTGAGTTTTTTTAGGGCCTGTCTTCCACAATCTGTATTATTTCAGTTCTTGTGGGAAAAGAGTAAAGATTATCCCTGTGAAAGTTAAGACATGCATTTATTAGGATTTCTCGGGATTCCTATCAGGCAAGACCCAAATACTTTTCAGCTGTATTGAAATGTGCTAATTTTCTGTTGCCCCCAGGGCTAAGGACAGCATGTACCATGCCTTGGGCTACAGTACCATCGTGGTGTTGCAGGCCATCATGACCTTTGAGCAACAGGACATTCAAAATGGCATCTCTGCCATGAAGGACGCCTTACAAACCTGCCAAAAGTATGAACCCAGTCATTAAATGCTTGTGATATGATTGCAAACCTTTATGCCTGTGTAACAAAATGAGTGCAGTTTGGCTCCCCGAGAGCTCTGTTGGAAGTTGGCCACCGCCGTAGAAAAGGACTTGAGCCTCAGAGCTTTTCATGGCCTCATGTGGTTTTATGTAATAGAGACGAAAAATAAATTCCTGTTAGGAATTATAGTATGATTCTCACACAGGCATCTGTACCTTCCGCTTTTCTTTTCGGTAACGAGCTGACAGAGAATGGCGGAGGGAGATTTCAGTGGGGTTCGCAGCGAGCGTTTCTCAAAGGGTCTCACTGTGGTGGGTGAGTTTGGGTACTGCGAACGAGGCCAGGCCACGCAAGGCACGTTCTTCTTTTTATGTGGGAGATGCTGCAGCTTCAGAAGGGAATGCTTTATTTGTTTAAAAAATGACGTAGTTCAACACTCTGGTTGGTGAAAAGGAGGTGGATTTTCCATTGTATTTTAATCTTTGCTCTGGGTGTATATGAAGACCCTAGCAAAAGCTTTGAGATATATTGGTGAATTCTAACAGTGGTGAAATTATACCCTTCTATAATTATGTGGCAAGCCCCACAAATGAAGAGAGAACTGCCACATATTGCACTTGAAATCCATTCTTTACCTGTGGTGAATCTTAACCACAGAAATACAGATTTCAACCATAGGGATCAGGGAAAGTGCTTGGCAGGGTCAGTAAGCGCTGTTTGCGAGGGGTTGTCCGCTCACATGTTCAGTGAGCCGGGGTTGAGTGCCATAGCGTACCCGCACAGTGCGGGGCGATGTGGGTGCCATGTGGAAATGGATGGTCTCTGCCCTACAGACTTTAGGGTGGAGAGTTCTGCCGTGGTGACTCGTTGGTGTGACTGTGAATGGATGTCAAATGAATGTCGAATGAATATCAAATGCAAATGAGCTGAGCCTAATTTATTGTTATTTTTTTTCTTGTTCTATGCAGATATAGGAAAAAATGCACGGTTGTAGAATCTGTCTCAAGTTTTCTTTCTAGAGGATCATTGGAACAGATGACTGAAGGTAAGAGATATTTAAAAGATTAAGTTTTTTCCTTTCTTTGAAAAATTAAAATGTGACCATGCTCATAAAATCCAACACTTAAATGTATCATATAAAGTAAATGGAATGTCTTTTTTCTCTTCCCCATCATACCCTCCAGAAGTAACCATTATTAATAGTTGGTTTGAAGCCTTGCAGATTTTTCTGTGTACATATATAAGCATACATATAAGTACACATAGGGTTTTTGTAGTTGTTCATGTATTGTTTACTTTTTGCAAGCATAGAATTACATGATACATATTGTTCTACAACAAGATTTTTCATGTTAATGTTTTCCCATGTCAATACATGTAACTTGTACTTCATTCTATTTAATTGCTATGTAGTATTCCGTTGGGTGGAGGTACCGTAAATTACTTACTTGCTTTTTCTCTACTCAAGGACAGTTGCATTGTTTTTATTTTTTCACTATTATAAACAATGCTGGCCTAAAATTCTTGTACATTTATAAAAGTGGAATTATTGGAAATGAGGATTTGCAAATTGATAATATTTATAGGTACTGCCTATTTTTTCTCCAAAGAGTTAGGTCAGTTTATATTTTTACCATCCACGTATGAGAGGTTGTGTTTTTCTACAAGCTACTGAACTATTTTTCAAAGTAAAAGTAATTTGATCCCTTTAAAAACAGTGATGATGTTTCACAGTATAGAAGATGTTTGGTTTGTGGACATTTGAGAATATTCAAGAATCCAGGAACAGCTAGCTATAGCACCTGATGAGATGGATGGGAAGAAATGACTCCTTTGCTGTCAACTATTTCATGTTCCCACTGAGATTAGGGCAGCGGTTCCATGATCGGCTCTGTTTTATAAGTGTTACACTCTAGTCAGAATTGTTTACAAGAAGAGAGCATTCAGATATCCTGCAGAAGAGAAAATAATGTCCTTCAGATGTGGCCGTTGCAGAATTAAGTTTCTGCCATCCAAGGAGAGTGTGTGCCTGTATTGTCGTCGGCAGACTTACTCTCTTAAAGAGGTAACACGAAACGGTAGCAGTAGCTGTGGCGAGAGCAATTCTGGATACACTGTCAGAGTCATTCCTAGTCTTCAGACCATTTTTGAATGTGTTTTATTATGAAGTTTTGTTTATTTGGGTAGAAGGAGCATTATCATCAACTTGTTGTAGACATTGGAGAATTTGGGAACATTTGCGTTATGTGAGGCTAGGGGACTGCTTCCAGGAGAGGACTAGGACTTGTTCCAAAAGGATATGTCATGGGCCTTGAGACCCATATGGAACAGAATGGCATTTCATCGGTCACTCCAGGCAGCTGAAACCCATCTTCTTTTTCTCCAGTAACTGACCTGTAAGAACCCATAAACATTTATCCCCTTGATTTTTGGGTAGAATGTCTTTCTATTTTCCATCTTTGGACCATTTATGTCAATTGGCCCCAGTAGTCCCAAAGTCCACTAAAGTACGTCAATGGGAAATTAAATAGGTCGCAAAGACATCTGACCCTCTCAATTATATTCTCCCTTTTGTTTCCTCTATACAGTTTCTCTCCAGTGGTCCATTGCCCCCTGCCTCCCTTTTTCTTTGAAATGAGAAAGCTGACATTTGAGATTTTTTTACCTTAGTTTTGGGAAGAATAATATGGTATTTTTGGTGTAAGTATAAACAATAATCATAAGAATATTTCAAAAATAATACTGATAATGCCCCATTTTTAAAAAGCACTCTGTCTATATCAGACACTGTCATTGGTGCTTTACTTAATATTATTCAATCTAATCTGTGTAATCTCCTTTTTATAGATGAGGAACTAAAGTTCAGAGAAATTAAACGCATGATCCCAGATTACCCGCCCAGGAGAGCAGGGCTGCCTTTCCCTTTAGTTCTTTCCACTGTACCCCAAACATTCTCCTGGAGGCATGTAGAAAAGGGCACAGAATGTGTCACCCATGGATGAGGGAAATGTTGAATTGTTCCTATGTTAGACATCTTGAAAATAGAAGGTACTGTGTTCTTATCTTTTTATTATGCCTTTGGACATAGCACTTTAGAAAATCTGGAATAGGTAGAAAATTACTTTTTACTAAATATTAAAAAATAAACAACAGTGAGATACCACTGCACACTTATGAGAATGTCCAGAAACCGGAACACAGACAACACCCAGTGCTGGCAAGCACATGGAGCAAACAGCAGGAAGCCTGTTCATGCTGGTGGGAATGCAAAGCAGTGCAGCCACTTTGGAAGGTAGCCTGGCAGTTTTTCACAAAACTAAACATGCTGTTGCCATAAAATCCAGCAATCGCTCTCCTTAATATTTACCCAGAGGAGCTGAAACTTATGTCCATACAAAATCCTGCAAATGAACGTGTATAGCAATTATTCATAATTGCCAAGACTTGTAAGCAACCAAGATGTCCTTCAGTAAGTGATTGGATAAAATAAACTGGGGGGCATCCAGACAATGGAGTATTACCTATTTAACACTAAAAAGAAATGGTCTGTCAAGCCATGTAAAGGCATGGAGGAACCTTACATGCATATTACTAAGTGAAAGACACCAATCTGAAAAGGTTGCACAGCATATGATTGCAAGTATGTGACATTCTGGAAAAGGCAAAACTATGGAAACAGTAAGAAGTTTGGTAGTTGCCAGGAGATCAGGTGGAGGGATGAATAGGTGTAGCTGGAGATTTTTAGAGCAGTAAAAATACTCTGTATGATACCATGATGGATACATGTCATTATACGTTTGTCCAAACACAGAGAATGTGCAACACCATGAGCGAATCCTAATGTGAATCATGGACTTCGGGTGATTATGATGTTTCACTGGAGTTTCATCAGTGTAACAAATTTATCACAGGGTGGAGGGGAGGGTGGGGTTCTTGACAGCGGGAGAGGCTGTGCATATGTGGGGGCAGGGGGAATACAGGAAGTATCTATACCATACCCTCAATTTTGCTGTGAAGCTAAAATTAAAAGTGCTCTAAAAAATAGTCTTAATTAAAAAATATTAAAAATAAATTAATTTGTGACTAGCCTATTCTGAAATATCGGTTTATTTATACTTTTATATCTAAAGGTGTGTTTAGCTAACAGTCCAGTGCATAATGCATGTATGTCCTTCAATGAACTAAGGAATTTATCATTAATAAGATGTCCTGGTAGGTACCTACTCATAAATGACAAATGACTACTCATGAGAGCTAAGGAACTGCGCAAAATAAATAAGAGTGAAGAAGTAAGACTTTTGTTGCATTTTATTCCTAATGAATTTGGCTGCCACTGCAGCCCAAACAGACTTTGTGTCTTCAAGGGAGCGTGTCAAAACATTGTATCCTTAGTATATGATTTGTTTTTCCTCTTGGTAATTTTCGTGTACATGCTTGAGTGACTGGTTGTCTGCAGGAGTGAGTATATTTAATTAAACTTTCCATGGGTTTAACATGGAACACTCCAGTTCTTCTCTCGTGGCTGGTATATTGCCCTGAATGGCTTTCAAATTTCCTTTAAGAACAGACACTTACATGCAGTGCTTAAACCTAAAAACTGAAAGAGATTTAATATGAAGAATACTTACATGTGGTTTATAGAGTTCAAACTTTCTTGCCTTTTATCTCTGCCTTCTGGTTCCATCTTTCAGCTGCTCTTAGATTTGTCATCTTTACATTAACCCTGATCCAATCACCCTTCTGCTTAGATCTCCGCAAAGCCTACTGAATCAAGCCCAGACTTTGACGTTCAAGGTCGTCCATAATTTAGCCCCGCCTTACACAGCCAGGCTCATTGGCCACTCCCCTCTTTACACCTGTGCTTCAGCCAAAGGCACACCCGCAGGTGCTCTGTGCTTCCTTTGATCTGTCTGGGCCTTTGCCGATGCTGGTTCTCTCTTAGCAGCAGCGTCACCACTTGGCACCTGCCCCAGTGATCAGTGTTACTGTGCAGGCCTGCAAAGTGAGTAATTCTGAACAATCCCCCTTTGTTACAAATGCACCTGGGAAAAGGCTATTCCAGCGACTATAAAAATTGAAGTTTCCAGTTTTCATCCCACTGAACACACCGAGTAAAATCCACAGGCGTGCTTTGAAGTGAGGTGTTTCAAAGGACCGAGGCCGTGTTGATGCTGCCGTAATATGCACAGGTCGTGATTCAAGTTCGGCCCTATCTGTATACGTGCTCTTGGGGGACCTGAGCTACATAGTTGCTTCTTTGTAAATTCAATCTGTGTAATATAAGCATGGCAGGCAGGTGAACCAATTTGTGAGAACCTCTGTGTGTGTGTGTGTGTGTGTGTGTGTGTGTGTGTGTGTGTGTGTGTTGGGGCGTCTGGTGTGTAAGGGGAAACCAGCAGAGAGAGGTAGTATAGCTTTCTTGAGGGTCCACAGCTTAGTACTTTGGACAGCTCCCCCACCAACCCAGGCTCTTAAACCCCCCAGGCTCTTAAACCACCCCCAAGCTCATTTAGTTAAATAAAATACCAATCTGTATCTCATGGATAAAACAGAAATCTGCTGATTTTTTTTTTTTTTTTTAGTGCAAACATGCAAAGATTCCCCCTTCTCTGCAAGTGTAATGGATGTGTAGGAAGGCAGGACATGTTTTTGAGGCACTCCCCATGTCCCTGGGCTATGCTTTACAGGGCCCTTTTGTTTGGTGCTGTATTCCTGCGCCAGATGTCTCAATGATCTAAATAGCCTAACTGTGCTGGTGCCGACTCTTTGTACGTCAGGTCGTCTGTGTGTGAGGCGCCATAACCTGGGCATGCTGGACAGTTGTTTCATTCACAGAACCATAGGGAGCTGCTGTTTTCTCTTCAGGCTAATAGTGTGTCTCATCATTGCCATGTTTACCATACCTTCATATTTTAGCAGCTAGAATTCATAAATCTAAGTTAGTTTTTTCACTCTTTGTAATTGTGTTAAACTTGCTTGTTACTGGTAAGAGAAAAAATAAGTGGTTTCCTTTTTTTTTTTCTTTTTTTTTTTAAAGTGCTTTTAAATCTTGGTTTCTTCTTGTGAGCTGAGTTTGGGTCTCTGACACCAACGACCCGACTCCTTGCCGTTATTTTTTAATGGAACCAGAAGATGACTTCCTCGAAGAATTTTGCACATTCTGGGAAAATCTTGCTAAGGCACAGAACCGAGGTCATCATTGCACTTTAATGGAGGCACCAGAGTAACCTAAGTGCTTGTGTCTCTCTTGGGCTTGTTTATCTATAAGTCTGTTCTGAACATCTCAGAGCAATTACTGTGGATGTGGGACTTTCCTTAATGTGATTTTATTTGTTTTTAATAGAGGAAATGCATGCCGAAATCTGTTACGCCGAGTGTCTCCTACAGAAAGCAGCCCTCACGTTTGTGCAGGTAATGAACCTTTGGCTTCGAGTTGGTATCGCTGGGGTAGGTGGCCAGGATGCCACAGCTAATATGTGGCTCATTCTGTCAATGCTTCAGTTGTGTTGACTTTATAGTTGTCATGAAAGATATTTGCTATTCTGATAAACTTGGGCTGAAAAAGGACTCCAGGGCGCTTTATTCCTATTCAGATGCACTGAGAGTCTCTTTTGAACTTCAGTCTACAGGGAACCACTGCCTTTTAAAGAAACCACCTTGCAGTTACCACACCTAATTTCAGGAGGCTTTTCTGTATGAAAACTGAGCTTATCTCTCTCTGTTTTTGCTCATAGTAGAGGGCTGCACACAGCAATGGCCCTGGTAGAAGAGGCTGCCTTAATCCTTGACCATTCCCTTCTCGGTTATGCATGTGTGGAGAGCTGAACTTTTCGTGTTTACTTCAGACTTTATTTCCCTCCCTCTTCTATTCTCATCCCCCTTTCTTGCTTTTAGTTCTTCCTCTGGAAGAGCAGCTTTAAAAGGTCACTAAAAATAACAATGAATCCTTTTCTTATGGAGCACTTCAATTTCACCTCTAGGAACTGTTACTGCCAGTACCTTGCCTATGGTATCTTCCAGTGCTTCTTAAAGGACATGGATTTTCACGTCATGGTCGCACGGATGGCAGTGATGGACCCAGTGGGGCAGCGGTGGGGTGGAAATTATAAGGGGGGCAGAAATTCAACTGCAAAATGGAAAATCTTCCTCAATCTCAGTGTTTTACATTGTATTAAGAGTTGCTTTTCTCTTTTTCTGGAGGTAGACATCTTAGACTAGATTCTGCTTTAGTAAAATTGCATCAATCTCATCTATGACCCTGTTTCCTAAAACCTAACATATTATGAAGGCTGGTTGAAAACAACAGTCTTACTGCCTCGATAAACATAATGCTAGTCATGGAGGCCTTCATTTTTTTTCTGGTGAGTTTCCCAGATGGGGATTTTATAATCAAATCTGAGATTTGGAAGCATACGTTATACTTGGGGACTTGTCATTAAACGTCTGGGAGATATCCATGACGTCTCTTCCTCATGCCCTCGTAGCCAGTCAGTTTCATGGCCATGCTTCTTTTACCTTTAGAAGATTTAGCAGCTGCTTCTCTTCCCTTTTATTCTGACTGTAATAATTCTAGTGGAGGTGCTCATCAGCTCTTCCCTAGACTGCACAATAACCTAGTGACCCTCTGTAATTTTTCTTACCTCCAGCTCATTCTCCATGGTGCAATTGAGCATCCTCTCAAAGATGAGAATCGCACCTTGTCATTTCTCTGCTTCAGCACTTAGTAGCTCTCATGGACTATGGCATTCGTTCTGTATCAGAATATCAGAGATGGGGGAGGCTTTTTCACATTAAACTGGTATCTCTCCCCACATTCCCTACTCTCCTCTTACCGATGTCCTCAGATGCTACTGGCAGGTATGTTGCATACTTGCGTGGTGTGGGTAGAGGTGGCTTTCTTGCTCCTTAGTCCTTCCCTTCTTTGCTGTAGATTTCTGCAGCAGTGCTGAGTTACGTAACAGATAACTAAGCACACCACGGTCTGTAATGCTTCCTTGCCTTCCAAGCCGTTTTCCTTTGCTTGCAAAGCTCACACCTGCTTTGCCTTCCTTCACCAGGCCACTTTCCAGTCATTTTTTGTGTGCTTTTAAACACGGATGTTTCCAGGAGGCTTTTGTGGATTTCTTCATGCTTCCCACCTAGCCCACGTTTGTGCTCTCATGACATCCTGTGCATATCTGCATCTGCATGCGTTCCTCCATCCCTTAGCGCACTATATTGTTTTGTTTGTTTGTTTGTTTTTGTTTCGTTTTTTTCTAAGATTTTTATTGGGGAATTGGGGGGATGGGAACAGTGCTGGGGAATTGGGGGAAGGGGAACAGACAAGTTGCTGTCGTTTTGTTCTTCAATCTAGTTGTGGAGGACGTTGCTTCACTGACCCAAGTTGGCACCATCATTGCGCTCTTCCCGGGCAAGGCAGATCAGTCGCCAGCTTCTGGACGGCCGCTCACTGTGGCTGCTGGCCGCTCACACTGCCTGCTGGCTACATACGGTAGCCCATGGCAACCCACTGCCACAGGGGCTGCAGCCTACGCCGTCGCCGGCGACTAGCAGCAGCCCAGCTCCAGGTCGAGCTGCCGTTCAGCATCTTAGCTGTAGAGGGCAGTGTCACTGGCTCTCATATGTGGGATCCGAACCGGGGCCCTCTGGCGTCCCAAGCCAGTTCTCAACCATCGCATCACTCGGCCGGCCCCACACTGTATTGTTTTTATCTGATTTTGCATTTGGATGCCTAGTGTGAAATAGGCATTCAGTAAATGTTTGGTGAATTGTGAAATGAAGTATTCTTATTTGGGGCAGATTTCAATCTAATTTAAAAAATTCTTTTTTTTTTTTTTTTTTTAGCTGAGCCATCCTGCCACTTGTTGGCAGCTCAGCGGCAGCTCAGCTCGGGCCAGACTCGAACTGCTGTTGCTCAGAGCTCAAACCTTGGAGCGAGCTCTTAACCAACTGAGCCATTCAGCCGGCCCAAGAAATTCTTTCCTGGCTATTATGGCAACTTATATAATCATAAGATTCCATAAAACAATAAAGATAAATGTTTAAATTTGTATTTATTGATTCTTACAATAATTTGTGTTAAACATTTAAGGATTAACAAAATTGGCAAACTAAAATCAGTTTTTCTTTTGCTGCAGAAGGATGCTCAAGTGTACAGGAAATAAATACCAGAGTATCTTTCTGATATTAATAGACTAGAAAAACATTCTTGGAAATGCGAAACATGGGGCTGTCTCACTTGCACCATCTATTATTATAGTAATTTCCTTCAGACAGTTTTTTGATATATTTTATTAAGAGATTCTTTTGAAATCTTAGAATGCTGACCCTGAAAATGGCATTCATTTATGCTGACTGCCTCAATTTTATGGTTGATGACCATTAGGCAAAGAGAAGTGATTTTTTTCCCCCCCAAAACAAAATTTCATGTTAGTGACTACAAATTTAAAATGCAGAACAGGGGCCGGCTGAGTGGCTCAGTTGGTTAAGAGCTCATTCAAGAGTTTGAGCTCTGAGCAACAGGGTCCCCAGTTTGATTCACGGCCCAAGCTGAGCTGCCGCTGAGCTGCCAACAGGTGGCAGGATGGCTCAGCTAAAAAAAAAAAAAAGACAATTAAAATGCAGAACAGTTATTTTTAGTCTGGAAATGTATATGAATGAAATGCAGAATGTTAAATAGACTCTGCCTGCTAATGTATCGGGCAAAAGAAGAGCCATAATCCCATTTACTGGAGTATGACAGACAGGGACGGGAAAGTTAGGCCTTAGAACGTATCCTTCAAGTCAACCATTTTGGATTCTATTGAACCCAGAAGAAAATTGCTCAGTAGAAGATGATGTTTATTAAAGTATTTTTGGACTAACCTATAGGCCCATAAATGATGAGGATACTTCTTTAATTACTTCCTTAAAGTAATTCAAGGATTTAAAAAATGTTCTCTTTTTGTTGTCCTCTAACTTGGAAGAAAAATAACAGAAAAGTGTTTCAAGTGTAAAGCAAGAAGAATATTTTAATTAAAAATTATGTCCTCAAAAGACAGTATTTTGTTCTAAGCACACAACTTTTGGGTTGTCAGAAAAGTCATGACATATTTTTTCTCTGTTTGTTTTTTTTTAAAGGTTTTTTATTTTTATTTTTATTGGGGAATTGGGGGATGGGAACAGTGCTGGGGAATTGGGGGAAGGGGATCAGACAAGTTGCTGTCTTTTTGTTCTTCAGTCTAGTTGTGGAGGACGTTGCTTCACTG